ACCGAATAGGAACTTAGTTGCATAAATAAGACATTTCCATCAATTATAGTTTAGAAATAAAAGAGACTGATGCTTTGGCTTGATGCATTTCTGAACGCGCCCTACATACTTACATGTTGCAAAGGTGTGAAGTCGTAATAGCGATGCTTATGAATGTTGGTAGCATGTTAACTTTTTACTGCCTTTCTGCACACACATACTTACTTAAATTTACGTACCCTGCAAACCATTTTTTCAGAGTATTCTGAATTGTAGAGAAATTTTAAGGAATTCGTAAAGATCTCACACACACTTCGAAGAAATGAAAATAATGCTGCTATGTGAAGAATTTCTTGCAGAAGCTTTTCGGAATTTTCTTTCTTTATTTTTCGTACAGAAATTTCTTTACGAGCTCGTGGCCACCACTTCATATAATATTCTTTGAAGATTCGTAAAAAAATCGTTACAGAAATGAGATACTCCTAAAGATTTCGTTAAGATTTCGGGAACTTAGGTTTGCAGGGTATCTTATTGAACTGTGAATGTCTGTTTTTCTAGTGTACATACTATCAACTCTTATAGGTATTTCTGTATTTTATAAAAAAAAAGAAAATAGTAAAAACACAACTACTTGAGATTTTTATTAAATTAATGACTTTTTCTTCACTGATTAATCACCAAAATAAAACTTTGCCGCTTAAAGGCTAAAATTAATTGTAAGATTACTATGTCATTTAATTATAAATATTTATTTATAGAAATAATACGTTTTTTTCGCTATAGGACCGGCAATAAACTCAGTGGTCGAAAATTCCGATGAACCGCAGCCCAGTTTGTCAGATTTGCATGATTTTGAACCTAAGTTGGAATTCGATGATACAGAACTACTATCCTCAGCACCATTGCAAAGTAAGTAATTTCATTTAAAATTAAACCCTTTTGTTTAATAATCTTAATTTTACAATTACTGCATTCCAGAAGATGTTATGGTTGACGACTTTGTTTTAGCTGAAGGTGGGTAAATGAGGTGTTGATATACTAATTTGTAAATGTACATATATATGACTATGAAAATTGTTATTTATATTTTTAGATGAAGAGATCGAGTCTGCGGAAATAGTAAATCCATTGGAAGACGATTTCGAGGATCAATTGGGCGAGGTTGGTAGAATTTGATAATAGATGCATTTTTTTGTAAGCGAGCGACAAAACAACGCTCAACTCGCGTAAAATTTCCTTTTAGTTACTTAAGCAACCCTGTTGGTGGCTGGTAAGAAACATGTGATTAGTTTAACGGGATTTAAATACAAAAGCCAATTTAAATGAGTAATTATGCGAGGTATTTGCGTAATATATATACTTGTTTAAAATTTGAGTCACGTATATAAGGAAACGAAAATTTCCCTCTCCACCTTACTTAACAACACTGCCCTTCAGGTCGCGTATTTTTAACCGACCTGGCTGAGCTCAGATAAATAGCCGACTTTGTGTTGTTGCTTTGCGTGTATTTCGTCATTTAAACGAGTGGTCGTTTGTAGCTCGGTTGCAAAAGAATGCACCTAATGTTAATGTTGAATACAAGTGAATAAAAATTGTCAAAAACTTTAGGAGCAGGCGGAAAGTATTGTGGGCGTTAAACCTAAGTGCGACTTTCTCGGCACAGACAAGCAGGGTAGACACATATTTGCAATTTATGCATCACGATTTCCAGAGAAATCACAAATGGAAAAATTCATCTGGTATATTAATTCAAACTTTCGATCTTATTCAAATGAATATTTGGCTTAATAAACAAATTATATTTTCAGTGATGTTATAAAAGAAATTGAACCATTTGTAGAGAATGATTACATTCTTGTGTACTTTCATCAAGGCTTAAGGGAGCATAGTAAGCCATCAGCACAATTGCTGTGGAATTCATATAAAGAATTGGACCGCAATTTTCGCAAGAATCTGAAAAATCTATACGTGGTCCATCCCACGCTTTTCATACGTTTTGTCTGGAAATTCTTCAGTCCATTCATCAGCGATAAATTTCGTCAAAAGCTCGTGTACATCTCCAGTTTGGATGAATTACGCCAGGCTTTGGGACTCTCCAAGATAAAAGTGCCCGATAGCGTGTGTGATTTTGATGAACAGTTAAATCTTCGTGGGAGAGGATATACTGGCCCCTTTGGATACGGATACGGATACGGTAGTGGAAGCAGCAGTACAGTAAAACAAATGGCCAACACTGTACAGTTTGGCGCACCACTTAAATTCATTGTATCTAACAGTCCATGTTTAAACTCCATACCACCAATAGTACGCAAATGCGTAGATTCACTCTCCATTACCGGCATGATAGACACGGAGGGTATATTTCGTCGTTCTGGCAATCATACCGAAATAATTGCATTAAAAGAGCGAGTAAATCGCGGCGAAGATGTTGATATATCAAATGTCAATGTACACGTAATTGCTGGCTTACTCAAAAGTTTCCTGCGTGATCTCAGCGAACCGCTGTTAACTTTCGAACTATACGATGACATCACGAGTTTCTTAGGTATGTGAAATGTGTGACAATAACTCGGAAGCTTTGGTAACTCTTCATACATTTTAATTTTTAGATTGGCCCAAGGAGGAGCGCTCACGTAATGTCACACAGTTAATTAGGGAAAAGTTACCTGAAGAAAACTATGAGCTTTTCAAGTACTTAGTAGAGTTTCTCGTTCGAGTGAGTTTGATGTAGTGAACGAACATTGATCCGTCAATGCAACTCCAATTTTGTTTTTGCTTTCAACATTTTTACAGGTCATGGAATGTGAAGATTTAAATAAAATGACCTCTTCGAATTTGGCGATTGTGTTCGGCCCAAACTTTCTATGGTCGAACAGAAGCAACACCACCTTAGAGGATATCCGGCCGATTAATGCCTTCATCGATTTCGTACTGCAGAACCACAAAGACATATATCTGATTGACGTCAACCAACGTCAAACACCCATCGGTTGAGTTTAGGATTGCAATGGTGCACAACGCACAAAAATTAATTAAACTGTGCATTTTAGTGTAGGTTTAACAAATAGCCCAGACTTTAAGTGTGTCGGTGCAAAAATTTGTATTATATACTAAAATTTGAAATAAGATTTCGTCATACTTAGCTTATAACTTAAAAATATGTTAAGATAAATTCTAAAACAAAAATCCATTTAAGCACAACACGAGCATTTAATGTGTGTGCATATCATTGATTGTTACGCTGAATGCTACATTCACATATTGTCGGAATCTAAGAATATTTTAATGTATCATTAGAGGCGAAGATTTTCAGATAACAATTGTAACATAAAACGCCTTGGCTACAAGGAGTATCATTTACTCTTAGTGTATGTTTATGTGTACAATATCTAAAATTTTATTTGATGTAAATTTATCATTTCAAATACAATTACGTACCATTTTATATCATTTTAACCAAAGAACTTCATGCAAACTTTCTAATTGCGTCACCTTTACAAAAAAAAAAAGATAATAATAAGAGTATATTTCTAAGCTACTCTTAATTAATGTTTTTTTTTTACATATTTCTGTTATGCGTATAGTGAACTGTCCAAAATTGTACGGCGGCTTTTGGAAAAATCGATTGAAGACAATTTTCTTAACCAGTGTGCAGTTTAAACATTAATAAAAAAATATTAATTGAACACATCATACAGCACACCTAATGCGTTAAACAACATACAATTGAGACATTAAAACGTAAAAGTTAACAATGATAAACGATCAGTTTTAGTCAGTTGTTAAAGAAGAATACAGGCAATGTCTGTTAGACCGAAACGTTAAAATTTTGACAGATGTTTTAAAATTGCCTCAAGAAATGGAATATTTCGTAAATGTAACATATTTTATACGCAAATCACCTGAAAAATCAGAGATTGAACCTATCCTTATAGTGTATGAAAGTTTAAAATCATATTAATTTAAATAAAAAACTTAAGAAAGCAGACACAAGTTTAGCAACCGGATAATTGTTTTTCTCCTTTTTTTGTAAGGTTTTCAATTAACCATAGAAATTGCATATATAAAATCGGCTCTTCTGCAGGCTTAACGCCTATTTATTTTCCATAAAAGTGCCAGTTACAGGGGTTTGAATTACAAAATTATGTTCACTTATGCGCATTTTGTTTAAATAAACATTGCGAATTACGAGAAATATGCTGAGGCTCTGCTCAAATGTGTATATTCTTTAATTTGCGGTTAAGGTCATTGAACTTCATTATTTTCCGCACAAAGAAGTCGCCATAACGGTGCGAAACCTTTGTATCGGCAATATGAATCATGTCATCATCAATATAGAAGTCCAACTGAAATTACATAAATAATTTTTTTTTTTTAATCAGCCTTCCATAAATTAAAGTGTACAAAACTTACCTCGGAGCCAGATTTAAAATTGCCTTCTAGGCCACTAGATCCTTTAGTCCAAACTAAATTTCGCATTTTGTGTTTGAAACAAAGTAGGCGAATAAGTAGCTTCGTAATATCATCTTCATTAGCATTAGGATCGATAAACGAAGCCAATTTGGCCAAGGGTAATGTTGTATATAACTTAAGATACGAACGAGTTGTAGGCAAATCCTTTTGCTGACGCACTTCATCCATAAACACCATCAACTGGTGTTCCATTGGATCTTTTACATAATCTTCCAATGGTGCATCGGCGGCAGGGGGGCATGGGCTTACAAATCGTGGACAAGCGAAGATGAAGAATGACTTGAATACTTCCAAATCGCCACACTGCATTTTGAACATGGCATCATGGTAGTTTTTCTCACGTAGAACCTGTTGAATAGATTCATCGATGCATTGTGGGTGTAGCACTAGACAGATCGCCAGCAGGTGGTACATCTGTTCAGCTTGCTTGTTGATTTGATCGTTTTGGTAAGAACGTGTGCTATACAGCTGCTTGGTGCGTTGAATGTAGAGCAGAATTTCAGAAAAGGTTCGAATAGCATCAGCATAACGTCGCATCATCATATATGCGAAACCAACGTAATAAGAAGTTGAAATTTGGCAGGCGGGTATGTGCGAATATTGTGATTTCTTGTGAATTTCAATTGGTTCCAATACTTTTATGGCTTGATAATAATCACCCAACAGCGAATGCACGCGCAGCAAGCCAACGAGCGAGAAGTACCCCAACATCTTGTAAAATGACAATTCTCCAAACTCACCGGCAACGCCTTGAGGATCGTTACCCTGAGAAATTGCTTCCAGTTGCTTCTTGATATTGGAAATATCCACAAGAGAATGCAGAACATTCAAAATACAAAGTATGCTCCAAACGTTACTGTGATTAACGCAAAGTTGTTGGATTTCTTCCTGTGTTTTATCAGTCAGGCGAGCCCTATGAAATTATTTTGGTAATTTCCGACAACACGTGCTTACAATTTACTTACCTGTATTGAGCAAAATTCTGAAATTGGTAAACAAATTCATCGACCAGTTCCCACAGCCAGATATCAGGCAATTCTAAAGAGACAGGATTCTGGGATGAAATTATTAAATTAAAGAAGTCACAATAGTTGAAAAATGAATTGATGCGTTGATCCAATTTTGGGCCACCAGGTATGCGTGCATGAATATGGCGATAGTATAATTCCTTATACAAAATCAGAAATACTTTATCATTATCTACAATTGCAGATACTTCTTGCTCATCAGGCCAAGCACTCTTATCAAAATGATGATCACTGATTTGTGGAAAGGTGTTCTCGTACATATTCTGAATGTCGAAAAGGACGCCCTCCTTAATGGCTTGGCAGAAGTTCTGCAGGAAATACTTCACGTTGTCAGGCATTCGGCTGGCATAGTAATTACGCTCGTACTCCAAATCCAGTTGCGGGTCACCGGTGTGACCGTAATCATCGTAGTAGTCCTGAAAATTACAGAGAATCGTATGTGGTCAAATATTCATGCAGCACTGTTGTCACTTTGGCCAGAAAGTTTGGTTATGTCAACCATATAATTCAAAGCCCTTGGCAAGTTTAGTTTCAAAGATTATATGCACTTACAACGGTTCCATAATCTTCACCACCGTACATATTTTAGGTTTATAATATTTTTTACCAATAAATATACACTTTATAAGTCACAGCTAAAACGACAAGCACGTCCGCAAAAATCTCTGCCACGAAAAAGAGTATTTTTCTGTCATCAACCAAAAGTCTTGTTCGTTTTTGGTTTAATAAACCGCGTTATCGACCTTGGTGCTGTCAAACTCTGACAGTAACATTTCTCACACCCGTTCTCCCCTACTCCACCTGCTAAATATTTTTATTCCTCGCACATTGCGCTTTTGCCTTCGACACTTCTTTAGTTGGTATTGGGTACGAAAATGGTCTCTTGGAGCAGCTTTTCACGTCCTTTGACGAGGTTGGCGCAGTATCGTAATGTTCTTCAATCTCCAGTGTGCAGGAAAGGTAGGCTAACATAGAAAGGATGTGTGATGTCTATTGTCAATCACATTACGCAACCCAGAAATATAATTCACAAATGCAGACCCATTTTCAATGGATATCTTTGCTTTATTCTAGCGGTACAGATGCAGATACGCAACTCTGGTCATGACCATCATCAATTTACAATTCAACCTTCTCGTTTTCAGTGGAATAAATTTAAGGATTTGTTGCACTTCTACGTAATGATAGGTTTGATACCTATTACTGCGATTGTGCTATATGCCAATATTTTCATTGGCCCAGCCCAATTGACCGAAATTCCGGAAGGCTACGAACCAAAACATTGGGAATATCATAAGGTTGGTTGATCAGACAATTAAATGAGCCCTTGAAATTTGCAACCAAAGAATCGCACTAAGCAGCAAAAAAATTTGATGCCTCCAAACTTTGCTTTTTTTCCTAAAATTACATACATATATTTATTTTCTTAATTAAGTAAACTTGAGACTGTTTTTAAGCAGGTGAAAATGTATTTCCGTTTACTTTCAGCACCCGATTTCTCGTTTCATCGCCCGTTATATATATCCTTCCCCACAGCAGGAATACGAGAAAGCTTTGCATCACATTTATGAGGAAAACGAAAAGGCCCTCATGAGGTAATATAATTACTTCTACGTAGTTTTCAGTATATAATTTCCCTAAAATTTTTAGAGGGCTTGAGAAAGAGATACATGCCAAGATGGCTGAACGCAGTGATTACAAAGCCTACTACTATCGCCCTGCCATCGCCAAATACCATAGAATTTCAAAAGACGCTGCTGATCACTTGGAATCACTACGAGGCGATTAAAAGCATAGAACAATGCTTGAAGTTAATTAGATGGCTAATTAATGTCCATACTTTAAGCAATGTATTGGGTAAAAGTTGTAGTTTAAATAAAAATATTTTGTGCCCCTAAAATAAAAATAAAAACTTTTTTAAAATGCTCAGTTATGCATTGAATTAATTTTATATACTATACATATATAAATACGTAAAATCTATCATAAATCGAATATTCTACGTAATATTAACTTAAATCTAATCTTTACAGACTAGCTGAAGCCGATTGACCTTATCAACCCCATGCTTGATTCTTGCAGTAATACAGCACAAGCTTGCCATTAGTTCCGTGGCATTCGTAAAGATTCTTGATAATTTGATCGGGTGCAGGTGCAAATGTCTGATTCACATAAAGGAACTAGGAAGATAAAATACGTCATAGAGCGGCTAGGTAGGTATGCATATATTACATGGTCTTACAATTTGTTCGCTGGCATCTAGTTTAAGGTACTGATGTATAAACTTTTGTATCCAGCTGACGGTTTTATTGGGATCCACGGTCCATTTACGTTTTTTGATGATTGGAACATTCCCAGTAGCGTTCAACAGAATACAAACTGGCATCGGAAAAATTACGATTTTATAATTGTGTATATGAAAAAAACTAAATGCACCTACTCTTTGAATTATCCTTGTCAGTTATAGATGTGTCTTCCGTATCTGCCATCGTATTTTACATTCGTTATCCAGTTAATAGATGTTTCTATGCGCTGGTAAAACGATGTAATTTTTTATTTCCAATAAATTGATTAATCAGCTGTTTGTCGATAAAAAAAACACTTCGTCGGTATAGCTGTGCCCAACGTAGGTATGCAGAAAAAATATCGATGCATCGGAAGCATCGATGTTTGCTATTCGATCCATCGAATAAAACCGAAGTTTTGGGCCTTCCGATAGATATCGACATATCGATGTATTTTTTTCGATACATTGAATTTTTACGAAGTTTTTTTTTGCGAATTTATACAAGGTGGTAGCAAGGTGTATTTAACAAGGTGGTCAAGGCGTATTTAACAAGGTGTTAAATAGACCTTGAAGGTGGTTTTGGAGCGACAGCTTATTTTTTCGCCGTAAAAAGCATTACGTCAAAATCATTTGTTTGTTGAAATTCATACCAATGACATGTCGGCAGAACAAAAAAATTACAATAACAAATTATACGCACATTGACAATCAGTACAAAATAAAATTACAACAAACACATAATTTTGACAAAAGGTATAAATTTGCCGTGAAATCAGTGGATCCGATAACAGCACCTTGTATAGATTCGCCTTGGACACCATCTTTTATAAATTCGCCTTGTACGTTCTTTGGTATGTGTGAATTATATAGTTTGCTCGAGCATGGAATTTCCAATCTTTATTGTTAGCGAATAGACCTGCAATTAGTTGAAGGTAATGCAGACCAAACAAAATTTTTTCTACATTTAAAGCAGGGCGAATTCATACAAGGTATTGCCAGAGCAGCTCGATTTTCGCCGCGCTGGTTCTAAATGTCAAAATTATGTTTTTTTTTTGTTTTTCTTTTTGTACAAAACAAGCACGTGTGAGCGATCAGTGTTTGATTACGTTCGCTAAAATCAATTTACAAATTGAAACGAAAATGAGTAAAAATCTGTTTGATGGGTCAGATGATAACGAAGGCGAGGAGCTGCAGATCAGCACCAACAAGGAGTATGCAAAATCCTACAACAGTTTTCGAAAGAAAGAATTGCTAAAGAAATGTTTGTATATATCCCGTAGAAATTGGTGCTAGAAATTAATCTTGTTGCTTTTTCAGTCAAAGATCGAGGGTATGATGTGGATGAATCCGAGTCCACAAGTGATAGCGAAAGCTCCTCTGACGAAGATGAAGAGTTCGATCCAAAATTTGATCAAGAATTCTTGAAAACCTTAGCATCGCTGAAGAGCAAAGACCCAGCGATTTACGATAAAAGCACAACATTTTTTCAAGCTTTAAATGAAGACACTGAAAGTGGTNAACAAGGAGTATGCAAAATCCTACAACAGTTTTCGAAAGAAAGAATTGCTGAAGAAATGTTTGTATATTTCCCGTAGAAATTGGTGCTAAAAATTAATCTTGTTGCTTTTTCAGTCAAAGATCGAGGGTATGATGTGGATGAATCCGAGTCCACTAGTGATAGCGAAAGCTCCTCTGACGAAGATGAAGAGTTTGATCCAAAATTTGATCAAGAATTCTTGAAAACCTTAGCATCGCTGAAGAGCAAAGACCCAGCGATTTACGATAAAAGCACAAAATTTTTTCAAGCTTTAAATGAAGACACTGAAAGTGGAGACGGCGAAGGTAAACAAAATGTCCAAAAAGACAAACATAGTAAACCTATAACTTTAAAGGACTATGAGCGGCAAATTATATTAGACAAAGGCGGAAAGTTTGAAGACGGTAAGTAAAGCGACATATACACGTGTAATATTTTAGAAATATAAATATATGTTTGTCTTTTCATAATTGCAGATTCTGATGCAGAAGTTTCAGCACGGCCGGTGTCTCCCACTTTTGTAGAAGAAGAGCGGACGTTGAAAGAAGAATTTAAAAAAGTTATGAATGCAAATGATTCAGATGAAGGTGAAGGAGAAGATGCTTTTGGTGGTATATTCAAAAAGAGAAACAAAACTAAAGAGGAACAACATAAAGAGGATGCAGATTATTTCGAATGGCTAGCGGGTAAAAAAGAGGACTTTGAAGATCCTATTAAAGAAAAGCTGAAGCCTTTGAAATCCTATTGGAGCAGTGAAAAATTGCCGCAAAGTGAGCGTTTTCTGCGAGATTTTATTTTAAATAAAGGGTAAATCTAAACGTTAGTTCACTTTTTCAAATATACAAAAATATTTATCTTAGCTATACAAATGCAAAATCTTCCGATATTCCCACTTATGATGAAATCGTTGGTGATAATCAACCTTTATCAGAAGATGAAAAAGAACTCGAAAAACAGGCAGAATTTGAACAGAAATACAATTTTCGATTCGAAGAACCAGATGCTGAATTCCTAAAACGCTATCCGAGAACCATCGAACAGTCGGTTCGCCAATCAGATGATCGTAGAAAACAAAAACGCCAGGAAATCAAAGAGCGTAAAAAGCATGAGAAGGAACAGAAAATGAAAGAACTAGAAATGGTTAAAGAAATGAAACGCAAAGAGATTGAAGAAAAAATACTTAAACTTAAAATGGTTACGGGTAATGAAGAACTTGGATTTAAAGATGAAGAACTCGAAGAAGATTTCGATCCTGAAGCACACGATAAACGTATGCAAGAGATATTCAATGAAGAATTTTATCAAGTAGATGAAGGTGAAGAAAAACCGGAATGCCCCTCGGATATTGAAGAATTAAAAGTGGAAGATTGGGATAATTACGATCCAAATGCAGATGACAATGATGACTATTATAATGATCTACATTGCGAAGATGAAGACTTTAACATGGACTGTGATTACGATCCTGAGGAAACTAAAGAACAGATGCAAAAAGAGCTTATCGAGAATACGAAGAAACGAAAAGGCCGTAAAGGGCGGAAGAGTCAATTCATGGAAATGATAAAGACTGAAAAGCCAGCATTTAATCCAGAGGAGGAAAAAACCTACGAAGATTATATTGATGAGTATTACAAGTTGGATTGTGAAGACATGATTGGCGATATTCCTTGCCGTTTTAAGTATGTGGAAACGACACCAAACGATTTTGGTCTTACTATAGAAGAGGTAATAAATATTAGCTTTATAGCTCTGCGGCACTAACTATAGTTTATGAGTTCTACAATAACATACACACATATTATGCCTTTCAGATTCTCTTAGCCAAAAACAAGGAGCTAAATCAGTGGGCAAGCTTAAAGAAAGCTATTCAGAATAGACCAGAACACATAGAAAAAAAAGATCAAAGGTTGTACAAACTGAAAGCAAAAAATGAAGCACTAAAACGTAAAATATTCAAAAGTTTATATGGCGAAGGGTAAGAAAGCAATTTAAAAAGGTCATAGCTGTATAAACTGACAAATTTTTGTTCACATTCATAGCTCCGATGAAGACGATGGAGAGGAGGATAAACAAAATATCCAGGATAAATCTAACCAGTCTGAGCCAGTTACCCCCCGCGCAGTAAATCAAGTGGAGAACGATGCAAACAATCAAAGGGCGAGAAGAAAGAAGAAACGGAAGTCAAAAGTGGCAGACAAACCATATGATATCGATGCTGATGCTGAAACTAACGACAAAAAAGTGAAATTATCAGAGGATTCAAACTCGAAAGTGCCCGCTTCAACTGCTGCTCGTCTAGAGACAGAAACAAAGAGTAAAAATAAGCGAAAAAAACGCAAAGCTAAACCCAATAACGCGGAAGAAGTTACTACAAAAACTCCAGGAACTAATACAGCAGGTCAACAATTAAAAAATAACCAAAAGAGAAAGGTAGATCAAAACAAGCCGAATCCTTTTAAAACAAACGACCTTACCATAGCTGATGTGCAGCCTTCAACAAGTACAACTAGTCTGAAGGTGAACACACAAAGTAATCCGAAGGATAGAAAAACAAAACAACATAAGTCAAATCCGTTTAAGCATAATCAAAATAAAAAAGGCTCTCTAAATGCGATTTCGGAGAAAAATAAATTTGCGGGAAACAAGGTACAGAAAGCGAAATTCAAACCGAACTTGAAAAAATTCCACAAAAGCAAATCTACAAATAGCGACGTCAACATTAGCGACGATCGTTTGAAAGCGTATGGCATAAATCCGAAAAAGTTTCATAAAAAGCAGAAATATGGAAAGCCTCAAAATTAGTTATTTTTTAAATATGTAAATATTATTTATAATTAACAGTAGCAAAATAATATTCGGTTTGCTGGTACAAATATTGACGGTTGCAACACAAGTATGTACAATTCAATTTAAACGAATGCAACGTTAAATTTATAAGCCATATACGGTGAACTTGTATGTACGCATCAAATTTTAATAAGTATTTTGTAATTACAATGAGAAAGCTAAAATAAAAAGAGATACTAATTTTTAAACACGATCCGCCTTGGTTAGGTAATTTAGGTAACGATATGTTTATTAGGGAGGGCCTCAACCCCTCAATCGGTAATACCACGGTTACAGACATCACATATAAATACAGATTCCTCTATGGAGATTCAAAAAATTAAAATTAATTTTTTTCCTCTAATACTCAAAATCGATACTACTGCAGTCGAGGATATCACATAAATTTTGGTCCCGATTGGAGTCGGTTAAGACGTCTTCATAGGGTAATCTGAACTTTGACCCCTGTGCGGCACGCCTTAACCGACTTCAATCGGCATCAAAATTTATATGTGATATCTTCGATTAGACTGTGTTTTGGGCGAAACTCAGGATAAGGCAGAATGAAAAATTTTCTCACCCTAGTAAAACGTTTTTTTACCATAGAACTTTGCTACTGAGGCTGTGTACAAACCGGTAACTTTTTCTCCGGGGTGAGACGGGGTGGAAACATTTACTATGGTGTACGAATAAATTGAATTTCGCTGCAAAGTAAAATTTGGACAGTTGAAAAACATCAAACGCTCATGCGAAAGCTCTGTTATTTGCGTTTTGCTGAAATTGTTAAAGTTTATATTCATTTTATAACTTGGAAGTAACGTACGCTTGTTTATGCTACATTCAGCTTCCATTTTGAACTTGACCCTATACTACCGACAAATAATGTTATGTGAATACATATTAAGAAGCTGTCAAAATTTTACCTAGCCCCATGAGCTAGGTAAAATTCTGGCGTTCGTATTCACCACGAGAAATGTTAAAGTTTTGGTTTGATCCCTCAAAATTTCATACATGACTGGCAGAGGCCCTAAATAAGAAAATAGTCGAATCGGACGTTCTCGATTAATCGATTCAAACTATGGTGAAATAAGACATAACCGGTTGTCTTATTACTTACTTAATTTCGTACTTTGGTCCTTCAAAATGCAACCATGTGGGATTCTTGCAAAATACCGTTATTGGAACCGCTTGTCAAATTTATGTATTGCATTTTTGTTTTTTGTGTAAACTTAGAATTGAATATGAAAGCATATTTAGAAAAATAATAGCAATTAAACGGGGACAAATTTACCAAGAACGGCAAATGGATAACATTAAAACGCCAGAGGCGCTTGATTGCAGCTATGCAAGTCTGTGTTGCTACTCGCCGGTGATTCCATTTACCGGGTTTGGCGTCCTTGGTGTTACCTGGACAGGAGCGGCATCAGCTGCTGCAGCTGCTACAGAAACTTTGGATGCGTCTATCTTTCCTCCATATTCAAATTCCGTCGAATTGTTTACGAATCGGGTAATAACTTTAAGGTTTGGTTTTGTTAAAAATTTAATTTTTAACTTTTAGCGAATAGAGAAATCCCACTGGATATGCGATTATTCCGACGATATTTTCCAAACGTTGCGCGAAACAGAGTTACGCCGAAATGTTTTAAGTTTTCAATCGGAACAATGTGGTTTTCGACCGGTAATGTTGCGTTTATTGAAGGTGGCGACAGAAGTGCATCAACTTTCGCGAACAACTTTACATTTAGGTGAGAATATTTTTTTATTTATATTTTTATTTTTTTTTAAGTGAAGTTAAGTTACTTTTAGCGCGCGTATAGATATGCACCTACATGTGTATACGTAATTCAACATAATTTGCTCTTGATTAATTTTTAACTTTATATCCATTTCAGCGCTTTACTTGTTAGATGGTTTCATGGACAATTACACCATTCGAACAGAAAAACTAAATTTAACAGCAATGACATGTTTAATAGTAGCTGCTAAAATTGAGGAAGCCGATATTAATGCACCAAAATTTGCTGAGCTCAATAAGTTAGTTGGTGATGTTTACACATTGGACGATTTCCGCAAAGCCGAAATGAAGGTTTTAATGCTATTTCATTTCGACTTGATTCGCCCGACAACGGCCACCTTTGCTGAGTATTTTGCTAATAACATCATAACGCTGGACGATTTTCATTTATATTTGCAAAATTGGCATGGTGGCATGTCCGATTTTCGTACCATATTGCAGCATCAACAACTGAACGATGCAACACCTGACATAGTACCACCTTATTACCGTACTTATGAAGAAATGGCTACAGTTTTAAGCAAGTTATTGTTTAATCTTGTAGATGAGACTTTGTGCTGTACGGTTACCAATCATATTTTAAAGTTTAAATTTTTTTTTTATTGGCAGTTTGTTTTTGCAGATATCAAGTTCGTCAACGCCAGACCATCAATAATTGCTGCATCTTGTATTGCAGCTGTGCGGCATCTTTCCTTCGTAACGCCTCTTTGGACGCCTTATCTTGTAAGTGTAACTGAATGTACGCAGGATATGATCGAACCTTGTATGGAAGCTATAATTGCCTTGCATAACTTACATATAAGTAAAGTGCAAGCAATGCTATACGCAGCGGCTAAACTATCGAACGCAGGAGCCACTCTATGTGATAGTCCGGAGTCTGGTTTTGTATCTATAAGCGATATGAAATCTGAATCGTCGGAAAATGAAAGTGACCTTGGTGAATGCAAATTTCCCCAAACCGAATGTACGGTAGTTCTAGGCAAGAGGTCGCGTTCAGCGGCGTTCAGCGATGAAAGTGACGACGGGCAGGAGAATACTTCGTGTTTGAGCCCTAATTTCCCGTTGTTGGGAAAACGTAGGCGAATGTTGGAAAACGATGATGGTGTTATTTAGCTATAAATTATATTGGGGTTTGTCTTCAATAGTAAGTTTTTCTTAAATACTTCTTAATTTTTTTTAGTTATTTTCTTTCTTCTCTCATATTGAATATTCTTGTTATGTTAAACAGATACAAATGTATGTATATTCCTGGCCGTTACTGTGGTTTGAAGTTTTGGTTAAACCTATGCAAAAAATTGCAATAAAAAGAAAAAAACAGATTGTACAATGGAAATAAAATATACCATTTCAGAAGCTTCTTGGGATTTGTTAATACATTTTTTTTTAAAGAATATTTGCTTATTGGATGCCTTTTAACCTAATCAAGTTTTGGGTTTCAAGACAACTATTCAAATTATAAAGTATACATACTATATATGTATATATGTACTTCTGAACCCTTAACCTGCATAACTTAAGTTACATGATTTATATAATTCAACTCAGCAGAAAAATCGTAAAAAATCCAAGGTTTCAGCAGTCGGTTTCTTCGACTTCATCCCGGGTGGATTTTAGTCTTAAAAATATTCGAGTAGGTTCTGCAATTCACTTCCGAGTGAATTTCAACCCCTGCCAATTTGAATTCAAAGCGAGTTTGATTGAATTGCAGAACCTGTCTGATAAATCAAATAGTAAAATAAAAAGTGGTACACTAGATACGAATTGCCAACATCAATATGTTTTTTTTATTGTACAAATAGAGTACGAGGTCGCATTTATTTAATATCTAATGTGCTATAAGATTTGGGATTACACTAAATACGTACCAGCAATGTTGAAAAGTGGACAATAGGTGCGTTCAGAAATGCAGCAAGCCAAAAGCATCAGTATATTTCTTTTCCAAACTATATGATAGAAATGTCTTATTTACGCAATTAAGTTCGAATTCGGCTTTTAACTGTGGTTGCGCATATTTGACATTTCCATCAATTATAGTTTAGAAATGAAACGAGACTGATGCTTTGGCTTGATGCATTTCTGAACGCACTCAATTGTAAAGTAGATACATGGAGACTTATCTTAAATAGGCAATCGTATGTTTTATATGTACATATATTTACTAAATATATCCAAAAAGAAAAACGTTGATCAGACTTACATACACGTTGAAAGTACAATATTATTCAATTCTAAACTAAAAGTCAAGATATCTACATATATTACAACCTTAAGAGACTGTAGTACTAATTTCATAAAATTTTAAAACAAACTTACAATTCAAATTTTATTTAAATTTTTCGAAGAAACTAAAATTCATTCTTTCAAACATTAAAACATACAAGGGAACAATAATTCACTTATCTACTAAAATTTATTTTCACAGTTTAAGGAGTAGAGCGGTAACGCGTAAGTAATACAGGGGAATGATTTATACAACATTTACATTTTCTAGCGTATTAGCTAGTTCAAAAATCGTAATGCAAAGAAATGAAAAAAGTTTTTCTATTTTCCTTATCGTTGCATATCACGCCGCTTCAATACGTCAAATATAACATCAGAAGCACTTTGCTCATTGTCATTGTTAGAATCATCAGAATCACTCTGTTCTAATAACGGTACAGTTTGCGCGGAATGTTTCTTTTGCAAAACGGCAGTCAATACGTTTCCGCTTGTAATTGCATTGCCACTAGATTGATTGTTGCAATTTGTAGTGGGACTAATGCTGGTCTCATTGAAACATAATTCACCATCATCCTCATCCATGTTCACCGTCTCCATTTTAGTAAAAGTTAAATACTTGTGTAGTAAATGCATGCAAATACCGGCTAAGCAAACTACTAAGCCAAACACGTTTATCAAGCTCAGCTGGTCTCCATTAATTTCCACTCCCAATGAGAGTTGACAAATATCCTTAAGAATGCAAGAATGTGTATAGTTTATGATTATTTACACAAGTTTGTTTTGAAATTTACCTTGAAGATTCCGGCAATTGAAAGCGTCAAGCCAGATGTTTTTGAGAGCACCAAAAACTCGCTGCACTCCATTAGGAAAGCCAGCACAGCACCAAAGGTGATATAAAAAATATTAATTAAAATTACTTCGTTGGATGTATTAGATAGATCGCGAAACACGTCATAAAGCGGTTGACCTGGAAATACATGTTATTTGTGAACTCATTTTTTCTCCTCAAGTAATTATTACCTTCAAAAGTTACCAAGAACGGCAATAGCGACGCTATCATCCATGGTTGCATGTAATATATCATATCTATGGGATTATGCAAACCTAATTTTGATTTTTGCATAACAAATTGGGCGAAACTCCATCGAATGCCACTGCTAAGCGATGCCAGTAGCAGAAAAATGAAACCAAGTGCGTTAAATTGTGCTGATTCATAAGTGAACATAAATAATCCTATTGCAATGAGACCGACGATAAATATGAGAAATAAGCTCTGCAATTAAATATTAATTTTAAATCAATATACAATTTAGTAACATGTTAATTTTAGTTATACCTTTTTTTCTAGTCCAAGCATTATTGCAAATATCAATATAAAAACTATGGTTGATGATTTAGTCATAGTATATAGAGATATGGACACCAGCTCAAGACCCCAATTTGAAAATCCAATGTCGATGCCACTGGCAATACCAGCTGGAGCCATTTTTTGCCATGATGTGCGTAGATCTATTTTGACGCACGTTTTTCCTACACATAATTTGTAAATACCACGCACAATAGCAGCAAGGCAAAGTTTCAATACCAAATGATAGGTAACGATAGTTAGGGGAAATTTTAATTTCTAAAATAATAATAGGTTTGAAAGTCATTAAAAATGCAAAGAGATGGTTAGAAATGCATAAACGTGTGTATGTATGAATGTATGTACCTTAATTAACTTTTGCTGATAGAATGTTAGCGATATAGAAAGTGCTAAATAAAGTAGTATAGTAGCTACAGTTCCAACAGCCATGTGCATGATACGTGAACCCGCCCGGTGAGCAGTTATTGCCGGTGATCCCATTACTCCTCCTGATTCATTATGGACACTATCCCGATCACTGGCTTTTCTTGCCAAATGCCCATTCACATAATATTCTTCTTCATCGTCATCACTTTCATATCTAATGCGATGTTCTGTACCCAATTCAATTTCTTCGTTTCCGTCGTCGCCGTCATCGTAGCGTCCACCAAACGTAGCACGCCTTAGTAGACCACTAGGGCTAGCATCTTCCTGTTGATTGCCATTGTTTAGGAGCTCATAACGCGGCTGTGTCATTATGAAATTCGATCAGAAACTTTGATGACCCAAGTTTCAATAATCTGTATGCACGACAAAGAATTTTCTGCTAAATTTTTAACAAGCATATGCATGTGGAAATATTTCTACCGAATTTACTTAGGTGAGAAATGCAGGTTGCAGGCAATGAATGACATTAGTCAACGTTGTGGCAGTCGGGTTCCATATGTTGTCTTGTATTTGTTGTTCAGCTTGAAATCCTTTGTTTCCTAACGGCCAGCTTCTCACACACTTATGTTCATAGTATACGATTTTACAGACCTGTTTATTAATTCTTTATCAGTTCTGGTTCAATTACTTATTAGTCTTAATTCTTCTTGTTTTGCAGTTATTTTACTTAAATTCCAAAATGAATTACAACCGCCTTGCTGACGTCGCCATTCTTTGCACTGTTTACTAGTAGGAATGTCGAAAAAACATCGATGCATCGAGAATATCGATGTTTTAAATGTTCCCCTCGATGTACGTAAAAATAGTCGATGTATCGATACACAGATTTTTTTTTTTGAAACCTGACATTTGAAGAACATTGAACCATCCTTTCAGTTTTTCAATTGTGCAAAAAAAGAAGTGAGCGGGACCCATATATTTTTTGAAGACTCTCGATTGCAGGGGTTTCATCCATCTCATTCAAACAGATTAAGTTTGAAAAATGAAGCAATTTCTTCCAGCAATTCAAGTTATTTTAACCATTTCTAATGACCATGGCATCCGCCAACCCCTAAACAACGCCCGCCCTCCCCCCAACATTTTCTCTGTATAAATTATATTATATATGTATCGAATAATTAAGGAAGAATTTTTAATGATTTAAAAATTATTATTTTTTACATCTATGGTTTTACGGAAAAGTTTTTAACCTAGTTCAATAGTCCGTTAGCATCTCAATTAGCTCAGCTATAGTAATTAATTTGAAATTTTGTACAATTTTGGGAATAACATATTTTGCTGTGAAATAATATCGTAAAATGCTATGTTCTTATATATCGAAAAATATCGATTTATATTTCGATGCATGGAATCAAAGAAATAAATCGATGTATTTTTGCCATCGACATCCCTACTGCTGTTTACTAGTGTTGTTGTTTCGGTTTTCCAATTCGACAAAAGCCAATTGGCGACCACTGTTGCCTCATACCAATGCTGCCAGATGCTAGTTAATTTAGAGGCCTGAATTTATAATTTTTTGCCGATTTTATACAACTTTTTTGTAATTCTTAGCCGGTGTATACGTACATATGCATGTATGTCGTAGCCCATCTCCCTTCTCCCGTTGTATATTTAGTTATAAGCATAATTATATACATACAAATATATTTTCGCAGAGCATAGTGTTTTCACGATTACATTTTTATCGAAAGTTTTACCCTTAATTAACCGCAATTTAAGTGACATGTCCTCGCAAACCACAGCCAACTTCGTGTGTATCCTCATAGCGCCGGCGCATTGCTAAAACGTACCACACATAATGGATTGACGGCCGAACAGGAGTGAAAATGCAGGCAGACGAATGTGCAAACTGTCATTTCCAGAGTACACACAGAAGACGGAATTCGTCCTTACCGTGTCGCATCTTATAAAATAAAAATTGGACGTTTTCAGCTCAATGCAACATTATTAAATGCTAACTATTTAAGAATAAAGTGTAACAATTGAATTAAGAAAACTTGTGCTGCCACAAAGAAGTAATAAAGGAAGCGGATGTGACTAGCAGAATTTGCAAAATATTATTACCCAATGCTGTGCAAAGGAAGTGGGAAGTTCCATCAGTCTGACATCAGTCTGATGTCGTTGCGGGGAGCTAGTGGTTAAAATAATATTACCGTAAAAACAAGCCAAGCGTAATTAGGTAGACTATAACATTGAAGGCGAACAAAGGAAAGAAAAGGAAGCTGCTCAACGGAAATACGAAACTTTTTTTTACGAGCTTTGCAGTAGAGTCGAGCTCAAATCAGCTGAGTCAGCAGTGTGTTTTGACTGTTTGTGTTGTTGTTCTTAGTCGCATTGTGGCGTCAGTGAAAAACCTTGGCTGACTTATAAATGAAAAAATCCACCCAACTAATTGTGCGTATTGGTTGACAGCGGCGACGGCGACGGTGACGGCAACATCAACAAGGCGACTGTGTACCAAATGCGTGCTATTGTTGTGTTGGTGAACCTTTGCATCAGTGCATATATGCATGTATGTATGTATGTATGTATGTGTAAATTTCTGTCTACCGCTGAGCAGTGGAAGTGAAGAAGTTGAAGTTGCATTAAAGGCCGGCCAAATTGTTGGTGTGTATGCGTGAAAAGGTACAAAGCGATGTGTCAGATATTACATAAAATGCGAATAAATACATAGAAAAAATAAAAGCTCAGAATAAGAAAACTCTTAAAATAAAACATAGAAGAAAAATGTTAAAACAGATTAAGTATAAAGTACAACTTGATATGCACGCTTAGTAGCTTGTAAGGAGTAAAGTGATTTTCGAAATTGCAAAATAATCCTAATTGATTATTAATAAAGCAGTAATGTTCTTAACACTTCGTGTCTGTGGAAAATAAAAGGCGGCTGGAAAAAAAAAACTTTTTAAAATAGGGAAACTTTTAAAAAACATATTTACAATCGCGAAAATGTCAGTAACGTCAAATATGGAGCAGGTGAGTTAAATAAATTTTGTGCAAATTGGTACATACATATGTATGTATGTATGTATGTATGTACATGCCCTTACATATGTACATAGGTATATACATACAGAGATAGTCCTGTTTACATTATTACATACATACATACATGTCCTTACCTTATTTCAAAAAGGCCCTAACCAACAATTTCTTTTCGAAACTGCGTCTATCACAGATTTTGGTAGGATATACTATTTATTAAAATACACCTTCACTAAAAATTATATGCCTCTTTTTCAAAACTCCTATCTGTTTTGGATTTTCTTTTTATAACGTTTTTTTTGCATCTCCTGTAAAATAGAAAATTTTCAGGTTAGGGCCTTTTAGAATTAAGGTACCGTTATATACATATATGTATATGTACATACATAGTACTTATCGCTCATTTACTTCAATGATGCCATTACTCAGAAAAGCAAAACTCGAGAAAAACGGCTTTAAAGTTTTGAATTTTTGAAAAATTTATACATATTTTGTTCTAGTGAGATACTGGTAATCAACACAACATAGAAGAAGAGGTAGCGGTAGTTTCTGCATACTCAACTCAAAATTTTTTTGTTTTGGACTATGACACTATTGAAGTAAATGAGCGATAAGTATATCGATAATTACTAATATGCTTCAAATCTCTTATAATAACTTAAGAGTACCGTTAATTTCTTCATGAACCGATGATCGGAACAACCAAATTAGTATGGGATCTCCTCTGAGATACCAACTTTCTTAAAAAAAAGAATTATAGAAATCGGTTAACGTGGTCCAAAGTTATGCGATAAAATATGTATGTACATAAAAAAAATATTAAATTAAATGTATTCCGACGATTGATTTATTTGAAGTGGGGCTGTGCGATTATTCGATTACTCGACCAAGGTGGTTAATCAGTTTTCCGGTTAATCAATTACTCGATTAATCAAGATTTTGATTACTCAAAACAATGATTAATCGAGTTACTTGATATATGATTACTCAAAAAAATTAATTTTCCTCGTTAAATGAGTTTGCTTTGGAAAATGCTTATTTTCTTTCTTACATTCTGTACATAAAAAAATAATTTTTTGCAAACAGAAACGCTGTTTTCAAAGTATCAAGGAACTTCAACTGCTTTATATGTAAACAGTACTTTGAAATGTTGATTACTCATTTTACTCATAATGTTGATTAATCATAAAGCAAATTACGCATATATGTTTGTTTTTGGTTAATCAAAATCTTGGTTACTCGAGTAATTGAACTTTCGAGTAATCATAATTTCCAATTAATCGAATAATTGAGTTATTTACTTTATGATTAACTAAACTTTTGAATAATCAATTAATCGCACAGCCCTAATTTGAAGTCGAGAAAAAAAACAAGAAATTTTTAAGCAAAGAATACAACCAGCTTCAAAGCTCATATAAAAATTTAGGAGTATCGTAACTTTTTTCATGACACAATAATAAGAGCTAAACAAAATTTGTGTCGGATCACCCTTGAGGTACCATCTTTCCGATAAAATAAAGGATAACCGAAAACGGTTCACGAGGTGCAAAGTCAGCCGGTAATATATGTGGAACGTTCCATGTCAAACGGACCAAAGCTGTGTCCGAAATTCTATGGATTAGAAATTAGCGTAAAGCGTGTCAAAATACTCGCGAATTCATAGTACATCAAATAAATCGTGGCAGAATTGAAAATTCAGTATTACGTAAATGCTGCGACCCTTAGAAGACGTCATATCAGTAAATACGTTCATAAATTAGTTATTCAGTAAAATGTATCTACCCTTTAAAGTCATTTTTTCAGGAAAAAAATGTGCCACATTGTAAAACGGCTTTCATTTGCAATTTAATAGTAAATTCTTCTGTCAAGCGTTATACATGGCCAGCATTAATATCACCAATGACAGTTAAAGTTCTGAACACACGACACAAACGACGAGCTACGGACCACAGCTTCCAATTTGTCATCTTCATTATCTAAATGCATTGTCGATGGCGACATGATTTATTTGAACGCGGCAGCGACATCATAAATTTGTATGAGTTTGACATAAAAGAAGAGGAAGAACCTTATCTGTCGCCAGAAAAATAGAAATAGATCTAATCTGGCCACAACCACAGCCGTCGCGTAGCCCGGTCGTCGCCAAAATAATTATCTACATAAGAGTACGTGTTAAAATAATTTGACAGCTGTAGTTTGTAGCTCGTCGTTTTCATTGTGTTCGCGCAGTAAGTCCTAGGTGGATTTTTATATTAGAATCTAATTTTTGTGAAAAGTGCAGATAGAGGGTATTGAATATAAGCCCTCAATATATACGTCAGACAAAAGAGATTTCATTCTAGTCTAGACAGCAATTTGCTATTACTACTCGTGCAATGTGAGAGCATGTACTACGAAAGTTATCTTGTTGATGCCAACGATGATTTGCTGATTGCAACCATGGCGATGACAAATATTTGCTCTAATTTATAGCAAAATTGTGAGAAAGAACAAAAAAGAAGACTAAAAAATAAAATAAAAGAATGAAATTTAATATTAATTATGAAACATTATCTCGATGCAAAATGTGTTGCGAGCCTGTTTTGTGAAATGGCCGCAAATGCCATTGAACTAATTTTTCGCTGATCCGAGCAGCAGAAAGTGCTGACCTTTTCATATACATACATACTCGTAGATGCATAGTCAGTTTTTATTCACCAACTTTTTGCTTTCTTTGTATTGTCTCTGTTTTTTTTTTGCATTTTCCTGTCTTTAAGCGCT